TTCTATTTTTTTTAAAGTGACATTTAAATTAGTAGAGAAAGGTGAGAGTAAAACTGATGAAACATTTGGGGAAAAATAGTGTGGGAACCCTACTCTATTCTCTAAAACAAAATAAATTTCTAGGGGCCGGGGGTTTAGCTCAGTGGTTTCGCCACCTGCTGCGCAAACGCAAGGACGCAAGTTCGATCCCCAGTACCAAAAATAAATAAATAAATAAATAAATAAATAAATAAATTTATTTCAGATGAATAAAGGATAAACCCAGGATCTCTAAGGCAAATATAAACTTGAATATATAAAATCTTCAGACTTCTGCATAGTAAAACATACTATAAAGTGAAAGACAAATTAGGAACAAGCACTAAAGCTCACCTTCATCCTGAAAATCCTAAAACAACTTGATACAAACTGAGTCAAGAATATAAACCAACACGTTAGAGAGAAATATAAATAAGTGGTTTTCAGAGTCTCAACTTCACTCATTAAAAGAGAAATGCCAATTAAAACAGTAAGACTGCTTTGTTTCTCTTATCAGATTGGCAGAGATCAGTAAGTTTGGTGACGCTCAGTGCCAGCAAGGGTGTTGGGAAAGTCACCTCCAGAGACTACTGGTTGAAAGTGAAATTGTTGCAATTTTGGGGAGGGTGATTTGGCAATATCTGTCAAAATCCTTTGACCCAGAACTCAACTGCTTGGATTTTTAATCCACATATCTACACTCAAAAGTCTTTCACTTTATTTTTTTTTTTAGATTTTTTTTTTTTTTTTTTTTTGAGGCAGTCTTGCTATGTACCTTGAACTCACGATATAAGCTGAGGCTGGCCTTGAACTCACAGTGATCCTCCTGCCTCAGTCTCCCAAGTCCTGGAGTACAGGCATGTATCACACCACACCTGGCAAAAGTCTTTCAATTTAAAACAACATGGTGGCACATGCCAGTACTCCCAGCTACTCAGGAGGCTGAGGTGGGAGGATACTGGAGCCCAGGAGTTCAAGACTAGGGTGGGCAACAGGAGTGTGTGTGGGGGGTGGTATTCAACACCCAACAAGTCTTCCTGTCTGGGTAAATATGAATGTCCGAGAATCCTGAACAGCCTCCTTCCTGATTTTTGTTTTCTAGTGTCTTAGCTCAGTGGATCCTAAAATTGATGTGCACCAGAATCAACTGAAGAAGGGCTTGTAAAATTGTAGGTTGCTGGGCCCCGCTCTCTGAAGTTCTGATTTGGTAGATCTAGGAGGACCCAAGAACCCACATTTCCAACAATGTTGCAGGTGATGCTCTTGGAGCAGGAGCCACAACCTGAGACCCAGGGACTCTGCCGTTAAGAGGACTGGGTAGGTAGAGAGATGGGAGTTAAGAAAGGCCAACTCCTTCAAGGAAGAAGAGAGACAGGTGGAGAAGTGAAGCCGCCTCCAGGACTGATAAGGAAGTAGTTGGGTGAGGTTGTCTGGACCACAGTCCTCGTTCCTAGCCTCGCCAGAGTCCTCCCTCCCCTCCCATAGCCAAGGGTCACCCAGACACAGAGGGGCCCATCAGCTACTCACAGTGAATCCGCTGCCTTAGATAGGGGCGTGTCAAGCAGGAGCAGACTCACAGACTAAACTCCAGAGCCAGGGTCTTAGGCAGGGCCAGGCACTCCACTGCTCAGCCATGGAGGGGTGGGGCTGAGATGGCACACAGGACACTGAACCTGCTGAACTCCACATGCAAGGAATGAAGTTAGATCCTTACCTTACACCTGACAAAACTTAATTATAAATAGATCAAGCTGGCCATGGTGGCACACGCCTGTAGCACTTTGGGAGGCTGAGGGCGGAGGATCACAAATTTGAGCCCAGGCTGGGCAGTTTAGTGACTTAGCAAGACCCTGTCTCAAAATAAAAAAATGTTTAAAATATCAAAATAAAGGGCCTGGGATTTAGCTCAGTGGTGCCGCTGGCTGCCTCACAAGCGTAAGGCCCAGAGTTCGATCCCTGGTACCAAAAAATAAAATAAATAAATA